TGTGTGTGTGTGTGTGTGTGTGTGTGTGTGTGTGTGTGTGTGTGTGTGTGTGTGTGTGTGTGTGTGTGTGTGTGTGTGTGTGTGTGTGTGTGTGTGTGTGTGTGTGTGTGTGTGTGTGTGTGTGTGTGTGTGTGTGTGTGTGTGTGTGTGTGTGTGTGTGTGTGTGTGTGTGTGTGTGTGTGTGTGTGTGTGTGTGTGTGTGTGTGTGTGTGTGTGTGTGTGTGTGTGTGTGTGTGTGTGTGTGTGTGTGTGTGTGTGTGTGTGTGTGTGTGTGTGTGTGTGTGTGTGTGTGTGTGTGTGTGTGTGTGTGTGTGTGTGTGTGTGTGTGTGTGTGTGTGTGTGTGTGTGTGTGTGTGTGTGTGTGTGTGTGTGTGTGTGTGTGTGTGTGTGTGTGTGTGTGTGTGTGTGTGTGTGTGTGTGTGTGTGTGTGTGTGTGTGTGTGTGTGTGTGTGTGTGTGTGTGTGTGTGTGTGTGTGTGTGTGTGTGTGTGTGTGTGTGTGTGTGTGTGTGTGTGTGTGTGTGTGTGTGTGTGTGTGTGTGTGTGTGTGTGTGTGTGTGTGTGTGTGTGTGTGTGTGTGTGTGTGTGTGTGTGTGTGTATGTGTGTGTGTGTGTGTGTGTGTGTGTGTGTGTGTGTGTGTGTGTGTGTGTGTGTGTGTGTGTGTGTGTGTGTGTGTGTGTGTGTGTGTGTGTGTGTGTGTGTGTGTGTGTGTGTGTGTGTGTGTGTGTGTGTGTGTGTGTGTGTGTGTGTGTGTGTGTGTGTGTGTGTGTGTGTGTGTGTGTGTGTGTGTGTGTGTGTGTGTGTGTGTGTGTGTGTGTGTGTGTGTGTGTGTGTGTGTGTGTGTGTGTGTGTGTGTGTGTGTGTGTGTGTGTGTGTGTGTGTGTGTGTGTGTGTGTGTGTGTGTGTGTGTGTGTGTGTGTGTGTGTGTGTGTGTGTGTGTGTGTGTGTGTGTGTGTGTGTGTGTGTGTGTGTGTGTGTGTGTGTGTGTGTGTGTGTGTGTGTGTGTGTGTGTGTGTGTGTGTGTGTGTGTGTGTGTGTGTGTGTGTGTGTGTGTGTGTGTGTGTGTGTGTGTGTGTGTGTGTGTGTGTGTGTGTGTGTGTGTGTGTGTGTGTGTGTGTGTGTGTGTGTGTGTGTGTGTGTGTGTGTGTGTGTGTGTGTGTGTGTGTGTGTGTGTCCACCATAAATCATGAACCGACACAAATAAAAACACCAAATTTTAAACTTAAGCTTTATTCCGGCGTCCAATGAACTGATTAGAGTCGGATCATCTGAAGGGGTACTTTATGGGTGGTCATTTTTATATTTTGTGAAATATATCTGTTATTTACGTTTATAGAAGGACATTCTTTAAATAAAACTTACTTACAATATTATTATCAATATTTCTTGTTACATATAAAATTTTCCTAAAATGGTTCATATTCGAGAAATTTGACAAAATGTAAAAAAAATATCTTTTTATTATAATTGTTTAAATAAAAGTTGTTTGTAATATAATTTTATAGAAATGGTATTATTTTATTTATTTTCGTCCATTTTTTAATCAGCTTTAATTTTTTTATTTAGATAACTTTTGTACGGGTCGATTAAACCCTGGTACATATTGAAAACATACAAATTCGTATCATATGCAAACAGATACCGTTATATCTAAATTTATATATCGTTGGAGCATTAAAAACACACTTAACGAATTTTGCAGGGAACATATTTCCACTTCTGTTCAATATATCTATAATAAAATACAAAATCTATCACGGGATAAAATAACACATTATATTATTTAGCTAATCTAACTTATTCCGTTCTAGTGGTACGCTAATGCAATATATTTAACACTCCGCTGCCACTAACAAATGTGTAGAGCCCTCAGATCCTTCACAGTCCTCCAGTATATCCCCTCCCTTACCTCACACCACACGTTTTTCCACTCCTGGCCTACAAGTGGACTAATTTTATTATTGGCATCACAGATATTTTATTTTATGATTGAATAGTTATATCTCTGTTATCTCTAGTAACTATCAAATGAGTATATTGCTCTTGTAAGCGTAATATTGTTAGGAGTGATATATGAAATTATACAAATTATCTTCTTCATATTATTTAGTATGTAGTGATTTAATTGGTGTACTACATTGTGCAATTAGCTTATTTAATGCCGTTGCATTTTTGATACAACACACATTTGCTCAATAATTTTTTTGTCGGTTGTTTAAAAAAAAAACATGAAAAAAACGAAAAAAAAAAAAAACAACTACAAAAGAAAGACACGTTATAATATATTTTAGTAGACTATCAATCCGATAATATGCTATGTACTATTTATATTTTAAAATCACATCATTATTTCTTGAAAATAAGTTACGAAAGTGATAATTACGTTTAGCAACATTTATACTCCTAATATATAAATTTTACTTCCACGTTGAGCTAATTCTGTAATTCTTTTTTTTTTTTTAATTATTCTTTAGAAAGATGGGACTGTATATATTAATTGTTTTGACCTCATATACTACAGTTACCATCTAAGTTTAAATTTGAATATTTATTTTCTATTTTATTTTATAAAAAAATGTGTATAATTTGTTTGCAATTTTTCTGGTAAATATAAATGTAATTAGATTTCAACTCGACAAGCATCACCTTGTATGCACCTAATACTTAATTTAGGAGTCAGATGGTTCGATATTTTACTTGGCTTTCATCTCATACTGTGCGCTTTGGTGAGTTTTAAGCCTCTATCAGACTAAGTGATGCTTTGAGAAAACCCAGAATATAATTTCAAAGCTAATGGTAGGTAGGGAGACAATCGAATTTCATAATCTATATGATAAGGTTATTAGAGAATATATGTGTTCGATGTAAACTACATTGTCTGTTAATATAACTAAATAAGAGCATGCTTCTGTTCGGGAAACATTGTCACGATTAGATTGAAAATTGGGTCACATAAAATGTACAAATTTAGTTAACATCGTCACCTCTGCTGTTTAGTACATGGATTAGTTCAACGGTAACATTAGTAATATAAGTCATTTCCCCGGTTATGGCTTTTAAGTTATCAGACACAAGTCCGCACAAAGATAAAATTAAATAAAATAATTTTTTCTGTTGTATAATGGGTAGGTTCGCGAAAATAATTTTAACTTGATTCAGAACTACTAGTTTAAATAGGATGACATACTGAAAATTTGCACCCTGAATATCTTCCTTCTAGTATATAAAAAATCGCAAAAACCGGTAAATTTTATTATCAAGGGGGACACCTAAAATGAATACTTTTAAAACTCGTGGCTCAGTCTCCTAGGAGAAGTATATGTTACCCTTAAAATCTTAAATGGGAAAGGAAGTCAACTGGCACTTCATTTTAAAGGGTGTTTAATTCTCTAACGAATGGTATCTTAATTTATAATATATTCTGACCAGCAGGTTCCAAGAAATAGCGTATCAAAGTTACAGAAGTTGGAACGCGCCTGCACTGAGATTCTTGGTTTTCATGTTAGTATTTATACAATATCCTGGGTATCCTCATAGAAGGAATGATTAAAAGATTAGGTGGCACCAAACTTTTACATTTAAAATAATCTAATAGTAAAATTTCGATGGCAATTAGACTGCATTTATCGTTGAAATTCCACAAATGAAGGGTATCGGGAAAAAACCAGAAATGTCCATCCAAAAACTTTTAGAGAAAGGTAAATTTTAAACTTTGATACATTGTAATTTGACAATTTGAGATAATAAAAAACCATAAAGGGTAATGTTTATTGCTACATTTATTTAGAACATAAACTTTACCCAAATTACAAAACTTTACTATAGAAATAATAGTAAAACTAATCCAACTTCCTTCGTTTATGGGCGTTTATGGGTCCATCAATTATTTTTATGTGTAACGAACGAAAGTAGGTATTAACGTAAATCAACGATACAATATTTTTAGGCTTCAGATTCTTAACTTGGTCTTGGTCCTTCTACTGCTTACCACGGGAATTTTTGTAGAGTTGGAAAACAAAAATTGGTACAAAAAATTGGTTCCGGTTGGTCTCTTAAGCGGTATTTGGTAACCAAGAAGTATAAATAGAATGAATCCACAAATAAATAAGATGTTTTAGCTTACCTACACCCTGCAAAGTTATTTTATTAGTGCTAGTATTCTCTCGCTTATATGGTACCGGTTAAAAAGTCTCTTCAGCTGTAATCCAGAAAACTAATTAGCATGATTTCATAAAAAAAAGATTTATGTAGCTAACCTGCACCCTACAAAGCTTTCTTCCTGGGTAGTTTTAAAGAAGTAGTCTCTTGCTTGGATGACCCATGTTCCTGGATTTTTTGATTCTTCGTTTTTTTAAACCTATCCACATGGGGAATGTTTGCAAACAATTTCTTTTCTTCTTTGTCACTGTCTATAGGAATTAAATTGTCGTAAGACTGTTGAGGCAATTCGAATTCAAAATGACCTTTGTGTGTGCTATTATTCGACAACAAAGCTTTACATTGATTTGCTGACATAATAGGCGATTGAAGGCAACTTCCGTTGTAGGTGTCTTGGTGCGAAATCATACAAGGGGGGTCCTCAGAATTCTCTCATTTTTTAAATTGGAAACGGGCACTTCTTTATGTACTTGTCCGCAAAGAAGTCAGTCCACTGCTTAACGTGTGCTTGATTTACTGAGATCACACTAAACGGCACAGGTTTTACCCTAGATGTTATAAGGTTCTGCTCCCAGTCATTAGGACATTCCATTCTTACCTTCCTGTTTATTATTCCCATATTTTTGAATGCCAGCGGATTGGATAGGTAACCTCAATAGACTTGAAACGTCTGATAACATTGACTAAATAATGAGTAAAACGTATGAAAGTGTAATTTTTATTTTGACCATCAGCTCCGTCACAGAAGATGTGCAAGTTTTTTATTTCATCAGCTAAACCATTCACACAAAAATCAAATAGAAATGAACATACTTCTTTAGCAATATTAAAAGAAAACATCGATCATTTTCTCTTATCGTTAGTTGTAATATTTGGAAGAGAAATATATTTTTTTTGATAATCCATAGCAACGCATTCGAATCTTTTTTCCTTTTGAGATTTTTTTCGGGCATTCCTTTTCCTATAATAAAATGTTTGAGATCTTCTTGAGTGCAGCTCTTTCTCTTTTTTTAATTTTTTTATTTCTTCAAGGTTATCATTAATTCGCTTGGTTGCTTTCATTAGTACAGTAAACTGATCACATTCACTACATGTATCGGTCCGAGGATAGCCAAATCCAATGTCGAACTTTTTCTTAAACACTTCTCTATATGTTTGATAAGATATTTTTGAAGTAGGATTTTTCTCTAAGAACATTCTGTACATTTTTTATGTAGATCTTTCGGCAAATAAGATCTGTTCTTATTATTTTTTAAACTATAGTAACTCTATCTAGTTTGAAAAGATGCAATATGTGATTTAATACAGTCTAAAGTAGCTGTTGTTAAACTTTTATTGGTGCGACACCCAAAATTTTTAAAAGAGGTCTGTAAGTACTCTAATTTACTTTTAGATATACCATGTACAGCAATAAATAACTTGGGACATACTTGGACTTCATCAAAATGATTGTTTTATTCTCACCCGATATATGTAACTGTAGTCGTGGTACTTTGCTAAATTTTCTGGAGCTCTTGGCGTACGCCTCTGTACAGTTGTAACCGATATCACTGAGCATAAATAGGAATTTTGTTCGTACTGGGAACCCAGACTGTTGAAATTATTTGAAATAGTTCTTCTACTGTTTGAACTAACTTTTTCCATGCACTTGAGTCTCTTACAATTACAAAACACTCCGAACTCATGCGAATGTAATAGGATATTTTTAATACTTCCTACTTTCTACTAAACTTTGTGTCAGCCATTTTGACTCAAAATAAACACAACCCTAAATTAACTAAGATGATTGACATTCCCTGTTTATTACGTCTTAGCAAGGACATTCCTCGTTTACGGCATTTCTAAATACGTTAATTTATTGAAACTATTCCTGTTTTCTGCAAAACTGTTTAGGTCAAGTAAAATAATATATACAATGTGATACTATATGACAGGGTAATTTCTATTTGCCAAAAAATGGACATTTCTGATTTTCTCCCGATACCCTTTAGACAGCCAGCCGTTTTTGCTTTTTATATTTTTCAAAATCTTAAAATAGCGTCTTTTTGTCATTTAAAATAATTGTTTAGCACTTTTTGATCATTTGGTATTAGTAATGTTAATCTAGTTTTACTTGTTGGACTGGTCAGAGATATAGGTTTACTCTCAAATCAAAGTGATTTTCGTTTATGGAGAGGTTGGAAAATTCACACGAAGGGTAGCATTTCTCTTTAATGAATGAAATCCAAATCGTTATGTAAGTTATAGGTAGGTATATTCTCGATTTGGTAGCAAAGTTTTTAGAAATTGATTTGGTGAAAAATAGGAAAAGAAATAACACGAGTACTAAATGAAGAAAATCAAATTAATGTTTTGGGAATATTTGTTGCAGTGCCAACTAGCTCCATTTAAACAGTAGCATAACCGACGTAAATATCACGCGTGACTGTAAGAAGAGCTTGAAAATGCATAAATTTAATCACTATAAAAAGCAGATAATTTAAGAGCTCTACGAAAATGATTTTGATAAAAGAATAGAGTTTTGTGAAAGCATGTTTGATCAAGTCAATGACAACCGAATGGACTGCCTTCAAATTTCTGTACAAATCGAGTTTTCTTATTAAAGTAATTTGGTTACACCCACTGTGCCTTCAAATAAATGGATATAAAATGTTCAACGAAAGAAATGCCTCCAACTTCAATGTCTTTAGACATCTAATATGTGAATCCAAGTAATTACTGAAATTCTATGTCTTCAACCAAACGTCTGAAGACGAAATATATACAGGGTGGCGCATCCTATACGCGTCCGTCTCTTTAGGGAAAACGACTTAAAATTTGATTTTATTTGATTATATACAGGGCCAATAAAACTACAAATTAAATTAAAAATAATTTGGATTATACAGGGTGACCCAAAAATAGGAATTTATATCAATGGTATGTTTTTTTGAAAAGAACACCCTATATTTAATGTTGTCTTTTGATTCCCCGGAAAAAATTAAGTAAAGTTTCTGTATTGTTTCCTATACCTATCTCTTTTCGTTTTTGAAGCATTTAAAGGATTCTTAATTTGTAAGCTTGAACAACATAACCTAGTATGTCGTGGTTATTTAAAACACATCAACAGTCACCTACAATATGCGTTGCAAAGATATTAATAAAATGCAAATTTTTCCATTACATCATACAGGGTACTTATTTAGTTTAAATGAATTCGACTTACATATGGAGTTAAATAATATTCCTATTTTATATGGCACACCCTGTATTTAATAACATAAACTGATAAAAATTTAAATTATCTTTTATTCGATATAAGATTTCCCTATACCTAAATTCGATGGATCTTTAGTAAATAGCTATAATTTATTTTTAACATACGGACTATATCACTAAAAATATGGTATTGAACGAAATAAACATTTTTATCACTTTTCAATGTTAAATAGTTTCAATGTAAACCAAAATTATAATTTTTTTAATAAAAAAAAATATTTAATGACAAGAAAATTTGAATTATTTGAAAACTACACACAAATAAAAAAGAGTAAGAAATAAATTGAAAACTAAACAAAAAATTAATTATAAAAAATGTTTAAAGTGACGTCCATCTTGTTTTAAACACAACTAAACTCGTTTTTCAAAGAATCGTTTTACTTTGAGAAGAATTTCTCCAGTCTAAAAGCAGCTCTTATTCTAGCTTTCAAATGTTCCGAAGTAGTTGGTGGGGTATTATAAACTATACTTTGTGTGTGTCCCCATAAACGACGTCAAGTCTAGAGATCTTGGAGGCCAATTATGTGGACCACCTCTTCCGATGCATTTATTAACAAAACGCCGGTTTAAGTATCGCCATACTCGAAGTTGAAATTGTGCCCATCCAACTGCATCTACATTTTCTGCCTAGTATTTAAAGGTACATTATCAAGGAGCCCAGATAATTTTCTCCGCAAATTTTTTGGAAATTTTCTGCCATCAAGATGACTGGTAAATGCAAATTTTTTGGAAATTTTCTGCCATCAAGATGACTGGTAAATGCTGATGATCGAGAGTACGAAAGACGTGAGGATTTCCATCACTATAATAATGAAAGTTGCCGTAATTATTAACGAGTCCATTATTATGAAACATGCACTCGTTCAAAAACAAAACATTATCAAAAAAATCCGCATCTGATTCTACTTTATTCATAACCCATAAACAAAAATCGATTCTTTGTTGAAGTCCCTTGGTGCAGCTGTAACTTATAAGGATGAAATTTTTGTTTTTTTATTATTCGTCCAATACTTCTCCTACTTATTCCAGTTTCTTTCCTAATAGCCCAATGACTTGTGTGTGGATTTTTTATTAGTGTGCCAATAACCCAAAATTCATTATCATGATCTCCTACAATAGGTTGAGGCTGAATAGTTTTTTTATAATCTACGTTACCCCTAACTTTAAACTGTTTTAGTAATCTTTCAAAAGCACGTCTGCACGTTTTTTCCTTCTACTGTCATTTTTACTATCTCATAAGCAAGTTTATGGGGACTACTGTAAGGGGTTTTCTCGCCACAGAGAAAACGGTTCCTTACGAATGGCGCTGGTTACGGGCGGTTCTCGAGCGCCAGATTTTTGGTTTACTCCACAAACTCTCGAAACGGCGTCGAAAGTACTCGAGTAGCTACAGATGGAGATGAAAAATTCCAGGGGTCAACGGTCACTTAGACACAGGTACTGGTAGGCCACAAGTAACGGGCTTTAATCGTTGCTTGGGCTGGTACAGAATTTATCACTAGTTGAAATACAAGGGGGAAATAAAGTATGGAATTAGTAACTAGTAATACGGCAAAATAACATTGGCAGATATATTGTGAATAACTATTTACACATTAAAAAAATAAAAAATTTATATATCTCAACGCCCACCCTCGTTATGATGATAGTCAATATAACCCTGAACAAAAATAAACAAACAAAACGGACGGTACTGAATTCCGACTAGTCTCAATCAGAAGTCAAAATTGAATTAAAATAAAATGAGTGTTTCGGTCGCAGAAAAAAA